CACAGAGTTCACCACAGATACACCGACACAAACAGAGACCCATATGACGCTCGTCAAGGTTTCTGGTACTCCCACATGGGCTGGATGTTGACCAAGGCTAACCCAAAGAACAGAGCCAGAGCTGACATTTCCGACTTGACTCTGGACCCTATCGTCGTCTTCCAGCATCGTCACTACCTTATGGTCATGCTTGCTGCCGCTGTCGGCTTGCCAACCTTGATTGCCGGTCTCGGTTGGGGCGACTTCTACGGTGGCTTCGTCTACGCCGGTATCCTCAAGTACTTCTTCATTCAGCAGGTTACCTTCTGTGTCAACTCCTTGGCTCACTGGATTGGTACTCAGCCATTCGACGATAGAAGAACCCCTAGAGACCACGTCTTGACCGCTTTCGTCACCTTCGGTGAGGGTTACCACAACTTCCACCACGAGTTCCCATCTGACTACAGAAACGCTTTGAAGTGGTACCAGTACGACCCAACCAAGTTGACCATCTTGGCTCTTTCCAAGCTTGGCCTTGCATGGAACCTTAAGACTTTCTCTCAGAATGCCATTGAGCAAGGTTTGTTCCAGCAGCAGCAGAAGAAGCTTAACAAGATGAAGGCTCAGTTGAACTGGGGTGCCGAGGTTTCTCAATTGCCTGTCTGGGACATGGCACACTTTAACGAGATTGCCAAGAAGGAGGGTCTTCTCATTATCTCTGGCATTGTTCACAACGTTAAGAACTTCATCAAGGAGCACCCAGGTGGCCAGGCTTTGGTCAGAGCTTCTCTCGGGAAGGACGCTACCAAGGCTTTCAACGGCCATGTCTACGCCCACTCTAACGCCGCTCACAACTTGTTGGCTACCATGAGAGTTGCCGTTATCAAGGACACCGAGGTGAACGGTAACACATTCGACTTGCAAGAAGAGATGCTTGCTAAGAAGGAGACGTAGGTCTTCATGGGCGTTATATGATACACTAGGACAGATATAGGGTTGAATTAAGGAATAAGATAATACAGATGTAGATGTACGATGGGTGGGAAATGCATATCTCAGAATGGGGCTATATGACTACCCATGCTGATCTGGGGAAACGACTCAAAAAGCGATGGAGATAAAGATTTTCTCTTGGCGACAATCACAGATCATTTGAGTGTACCTTACTCTCTATTGAGTCCCCAGCATGGTGCTAATTTTCACCCGGTTCACCCGATGCCCCCGTGCGCTAATACAAACCATAGTGTACCCAGCCAACCACGACCATGCAATATCCCACATTCTTCCGATCCCAATGACTCAAATAAAACGCACCCGCTTACAGCCGTCAGTGTAACACCACACATCAGGTTATTTCCTAAAAGCCTGATCTACAGCAGTGTGGAAGTGGTTCGATCGGCGCGACCCGAAAAAGTCCGCCCGAGCATAGAAGCTTCCACGCAGACCCTCGAGAGCTACACAAAACGAATATGATGAGTTTTGAGGATTTTAAATTTTTCTATGCTTTTCCGTGGTTGTCCAAGAGAAACTTGGTGTTTTTCGCCCTAAAATTTGAAAAATAAGCCTACTTTTCCCTGAGTGTCGTCTCAAACCTAGAGTGCCGCCTAGCTTTTTGTCAGGAGATTTGCCGGCACGGCTGCAGCTCTGTGGTGCGATTTTTTGCACCCAATATGACCACTTCCTGGCACCACCAGCCCATGAACCCAGTATATAAATGCCATAGACTTTCTGAAGAAATCTTCAATATCAACAACAAACACATCAATAATCACAACAATGCTTCCAAGAACCTCTATGCTCCAAAACTACATGAGACGTGTCCCAGCAGTCATGCAATGGGGAGTCGGTGTTGGTTTCTTCTTGGGCTGGCCCCATGCCGTTATTGGCTACTCCAACAAGGCCCATGATGTTCCAAAGATGAACCTCGCCTACCTTTAAACTATTTATGCATGTACATTAATTTACGATAGAACGATGACAAGTTGTAGGTGTGGAAGCCAGCACTTCAAGCTAGGCACATAATTAAATTTATGGCTGCACATTGAGTAGGGTAATGGTCAATACTCTTCCTTTTGATGTGAGGGCATGTTAGATGCGGAGAATCGGTGCATTTATGGTCGCAGTCGTCTGGTTATATTGCAACTAGAAGCTTCCGGTGTCAAAATCTCCACAATTCCGTTGCGGACCAAGGTGGACATTCAAATACTTTTAATTCAAGCAGCTCAATGTATGAATATTCCATTTTTAGAAATCTCCACCAGTCCTATTTTTCAACCCTACCGTAGTTCACACTTTAGTCCGAATCTCGCGAGAAACACGGAAACTTTCCCAACCTACTCCACCGGCTGCGAATCGTCAAAATCCACCACCCCCTTTTAAAAAACCATCCGATCCATAAAAGAACAACTCTTTATCACTCTCTTCACATTTCAAAACCCCAATTGACTTAAACCCCTGACTCCTAACCCCCCTCAACTACCCCGGATCTAATGTAGCCACCTTTCTGGGCGGCAGAAGCCTGCATTGAGCCACGCTCCCAGCTACTACCACCAAGAACCATATTCAAAGTACCCCCAGCAACCAATGTCCAAGCCATTCCAACCAATCAGTGAGGTCCTCAAAGACAAACACAAGGAGCAGTCGTTCGATGATATCTACGGCGAACCAGAGAACTTCCTTGAGGTCGAAGTATGTATCCACTTTTTAGTATAGTCCAGCTCGTCTAACACCAGGTTCGTAATCCACAGACACACTACAGCAAGGACCCCTACACCGACTACGAAATAGTGTGCCGAACAAACATTCCAGCATTCAAAAAGAGACAATCTAGGGTCCGTAGACGGTACAGTGACTTTGTCGCTTTCCGGAAGATTCTCGACCTGGAAACGCTGAGAGTAGTTATCCCACCTTTGCCTGGTAAGATTCTCCTCAGTCTGAATCGTTTCAACGACGTCAATATAGAGAACAGAAGGCAAGGTCTCGAGAAATTCTTGAGGGTTGTCAGTGGGCACCCTATACTCCAAACCAAGTCTACAACCCTACGTGACTTCATGCAAAACGACCGCTGGGAGCCTCGGTACCCTCTCGAGCCACGTGAGCTTCTTTCGTAAAGTTGAAACTCCAACAGATCGGTGACTTCCAGGGTATAACCTGAGAGGTGTCGGGTGGGGGGTATATAAAGCCTGAAACCCCGGCTGGCAGGTACCAAACACTTTCTGCCTGTGGAAGTCCCCACAAATCGCCTCAAAAAGGGCTAATGGCACCGGTGTTTGACCATTGTTACCGCAGTTATTCCGACAACTAGGCTATGCCATCTCGGCCATAACTTGGGTTTTTGACATTTTGTACCCCTAAGAGGGTGAGCAAGGGCGACTCGGTGTTAAGCTCGCACGGTGCTCGCTGTTTGGGACCACCCTCAGCCATGAGCAGATGCCAGCATGTTAATTACGCATCTCGGGAATATCCTTGAATTGTTTTCAAATTAATCACCTGCTTCGCTGTTAGTTCAGTTTAGCACCTGCGGGGGGCTCGGTATTAGGCTTTTCGCAGCCAATCCCCCTCCATACTGAAACTCGGGCTTCCACCGTGTGGAGTGGTCCTAAGGCTTATCAGTGGAGCTCGGCGTTATGCACCTACATGTCTCCTCCATGACGCTGCAATACATGTTTCAGCTCAAAGCCCGAGACCGGACCCTCGAGTACCCCACAAACCTCGAACTATAAGTAAACCTTCGATTCTCGACATTCAAGTCCACCATCAAACAATCAAATCAATCAATCGCAATGTCTGTCCCAAAAACCCAAAAAGCTGTTATCTTCGAGACCAACGGTGGTCCTTTGCAGTACAAGGACATCCCAGTCCCAACCCCCAAGCCAACTGAATTGTTGATCAACGTCAAGTACTCCGGTGTCTGCCACACTGACTTGCACGCCTGGCAGGGTGACTGGCCATTGCCAACTAAGTTGCCATTGGTCGGTGGCCACGAGGGCGCTGGTGTCGTCGTTGCTATGGGTGAGAACGTCAAGGGATGGGAGATTGGTGACTACGCCGGTATCAAGTGGTTGAACTCCTCTTGTAACTCCTGTGAGTTCTGTCAGACCACAAACGAGTCCAACTGTGCTTCCGCTGACTTGTCTGGTTACACTCACGATGGTTCTTTCCAGCAGTACGCTACCGCCGATGCCATCCACGCTGCCCGTATCCCCAAGGGCACTGACTTGGCAACCGCTGCTCCAATTTTGTGTGCTGGTATCACTGTCTACAAGGCTTTGAAGACCGCCAACTTGAAGGCTGGCCAGTGGGTCGCCATTTCCGGTGCCGCAGGCGGCTTGGGTTCGTTGGCTATTCAATACGCTAAGGCCATGGGTTACAGAGTCTTGGGTATCGATGGTGGCGAAGGAAAGGAGGACTTTGCCAAGGGCTTGGGTGCCGAAGCTTTCGTGGACTTCACCAAGGTCAAGGATGTTCCTGCTGAGGTTGTGAAGATCACCAACGGTGGTCCTCACGGTGTGATCAACGTCTCGGTCTCGGAAGCCGCTATGCAGCAGTCTGTCGAGTACGTCAGATCTACCGGTACCGTCGTGCTTGTTGGTTTGCCAGCTGGTGCCAAGGTGGCTGCCTCTGTCTTCGACTCGGTTGTCAAGTCCGTGAGCATCAAGGGCTCTTACGTCGGTAACAGAGCCGACTCCGCTGAGGCCATCGACTTCTTCTCCAGAGGTTTGATCAAGTGTCCAATTAAGGTTGTCGGCTTGTCCGAGTTGGCCAGCATCTACGAGTTGATGAAGGCTGGTAAGATCTTGGGTAGGTACGTCGTTGACACCTCCAAGTAAGCAGGCTTGCTTGTCCGTTATGACAGTATATTTCAATGACAGAAAAGTTTATTTAACAAGCTTGTAGAGAGAAGTGGATGTAAAATTACGGGGATGCCTTTCCTGGCACCTAGCGCCTTATCTGATTCATCAATGATTTGCGAACTACATGAAAACTTCATAATCAAATTTATTTCACACAATCTATATGGCTTAGAAAGCGCGGTTCAATGGGGAAAGGATTGGCTTACCCTTGTAGAACTGGACGGTCTTGGCACCTCTGTCGGCAATACCCTCTGGGGTGAACTCGAAGAACTTGTAAAGATCGTCAGCCTTACCAGAAGCACCGAATCTGTTGATACCAAACTGCTCGTGAGAGTACTTAGACCAACCGAAGGTGGACAAGACCTCAACGGACAAGATTGGGACACCATCTGGCAAGACAGACAACTGGTAGTCTCTGGTCTGCTGGTCGAAGGTGTGGAAGTCAGCGACGGAAACAACGCTGGTCTTGATGTTAGCCTCAGCCAACTTCTTGGCAGCGTCAATAGAGATAGAAACCTCGGAACCAGAAGAGACAATGATCAAGTCTGGGTTCTCAGCGGCGTGGATGGTGTAAGCACCCTTGGAGGCCTTCTCAATAGAAGAGCCAGCCAACTGAGGCAAGTTCTGTCTGGTCAAAGCCAAGACGTGAGGAGTAGAGGTGGACTCGATGGCGCTCTTGTAAGCAGCAGACACCTCGTTACCGTCAGCTGGTCTCCAGACAGAGATGTTTGGAGTAGCTCTCAACCAAGCCAAGGTCTCGATAGGCTGGTGAGTAGGACCGTCCTCACCCAAACCAATGGAGTCGTGGGTAGCGACCCAGGTGACTGGGAGGTGGGACAAGGCAGCCAATCTGACGGCACCGGCAGCGTAGGAAACGAAGTTCAAGAAAGTACCACCGTAGTTCTTGTAGTTGGCACCGTAAGCGGCAATACCGTTCATGATGGCACCCATACCGTGCTCTCTGACACCGTATCTGATGTAACGACCGGAGTAGTCACCCAAGCCGGTGTTTGGAGGCTGGAAGTCGACAGAGTCGGCACCTCTGGTCAAGTTAGAACCGGTCAAGTCAGCGGAACCACCAATGATCTCAGGGACAATTGGCAAGATGGCGTTCAAGACGTTCTCAGACAACTTTCTGGTGGCCAATGGCTTGTCGTCAGGAGTGTAGGTTGGCAAAGCGTCAGCCCAGTTCTCTGGCAACTTGTTGTCCAATCTTCTCTGGACCTCAGCACCCTCCTTAGGGTACTTCTGCTTGTAGGTTTCAAGTCTGGCTTGCCACTCTCTGTAGATCTTCTGGTTCTCGCCAACGTGCTTCTGGTAGTGCTCGTAGACCTCGGTTGGGACAACGAAAGACTTCTCTGGGTCGAAGCCCATTCCCTCCTTCAACTGCTTGACATCGTCAGCCTTCAATGGAGAACCGTGGACAGAACCGGTACCGGCCTGCTTGGAACCGAAACCAATGGTGGTGGTCAATCTAACCAAAGTTGGCTTGTCAACCTTCTTGGCCTCCTCAATGGCGTCCTTGACGGCACCCAAGTCGGTGTCACCGTGAGGAATCTCAATGATGTGCCAGCCGTAAGCCTTGTATCTCTCGGTGACGTTCTCAGTGAAGGCACAGTTGGTGTTACCGTCAATGGAGATGTGGTTGTCATCCCAGAAAGCAATCAAGTTGTTCAATTGCAAGTGACCAGCGAGGGAAGAAGCCTCGGAGGCAACACCCTCCTGAAGACAACCGTCACCCAAGAAAGCGTAGGTGAAGGAGTCAGACAAGGCAAGGTCGTCCTTGTTGTAAGTAGCAGCAAACTGCTTCTGGGCAATGGCCAAACCAACAGCGTTGGAGATACCCTGACCCAAAGGACCAGTGGTGACCTCAACACCTGGAACCTCGTGGGTCTCTGGGTGACCTGGGGTCTTGGAGTTCAACTGTCTAAACTGCTTCAAGTCGTCAATGGACATGTCGAAGCCGTACAAGTGCAACAAGGAGTAAAGCAAGGCACAGGCGTGACCGTTGGAAAGGACAAATCTGTCTCTGTTGGCCCAGTGGGGGTTCTTTGGGTCAAACTTCATTTGCTGCCACAAAGCGTGGGCAACTGGGGCCATACCCAAGGGGGCACCGGGGTGACCGGAGTTAGCCTTGGAGACGGCGTCAACAGAGAGAAGACGGATGGTGGAGATACACAATTGGTCAATGTCAGTCATCACGTGGAATTAGTGTTGATTGAAAAAATGGAGAGTCCTAACTTCGGTGCGAGTAGTGGGATTTTTATATTGGGCATGGGCGACGGCTTTGCTACGAGGGTAACCGGGGGTGTACCGGGGGTGAAAGAGCAGTACACCGGTGGTAGCGAGCCGGTTGTTCTACGGAATGGACCGAATGAGGACATTCAAGACCAAATATGACTATCTATCAAGGCAATAAAGCTTACTGAACAAGACTCGGCAACAACTTTTACCAAATCACCTTGACACATGCGGATTCGGTGAAGCGGGTCGTTGAGCGACGTTGGAAAAGACCCGTACACCAGCTTACATCATAGCGATCAGGCCTCGATTGATCTGGACAAAATTGCAGTTTTGTGGTCCACTAAGGGTATCAATATAATCAGTGAGATCAGAGAAATCTAAAGATGTAAAAACTATCCCGATATCACCCAGTTTGGTGAGTCAAGCCGTTCCGCTGAAAACTGTTGGATTTCCACTACCTGCAGTCCGCTTTTGGGTGTCTCAGGTCCTCCCTCGGAAAGAACGCCAAAAGAGGCCCCTGTTCTTGCAATTACTAACCCCATTTCCTCGAATACCCTCGATATGACGTTTGACAAGGCCTGGCCAAGGCTTGGGGCCTTTCACGTGATCCACCCCATCTGATTGTCTCTCGAACCTGAATGCACGCTGACTAAGTACCGTGGGTGCTAGAAGACCGGGCCGGTGCGCACCGGTGGTATCTACCCTCGGAAGTCCCACGACACCCTGGAGAACCGTGGGGGATTGGGGGAAACGTAATATCGATCAAATATTTAGATTACGGTGGTTGGTAAAATGCCAAATTTCCTGCAGATAGAAATGTTCGTGTTTCGGACTTGGCCAGCCCATGGCGATCGCATCTGCGCCAAAGTGGATCGATGATCTGATAGCAAGTATAGATATGTGAGTTGGAAGCAATGCAGCGTGGGTCAAAATCGAACCTTCGGGAAGGTGTTTTAGTGGAAAAGGGTCCTGGGGTGAAAAATGCGAGATGTAGCCGCTGAGGTGAAGAGGAGCAGTAATTATATAAGGACATCATTGAAGGTACACTAATCTAGCTGCACATGCAAAATATCACAACTTCAGTTGTGTGATTTTAATTTTGTGTTGGGAAGCCTTGAAGATGCAATGTAGGTAACCGCCAAGTGGTGTGTACTAAGGTGTTCGACATATGCGTCAGGCAGATATGGCTGCAAAATGTGGATATAGTTGAGATTTGTGAAGAACATAATCCGATTGCTTCATTAGAGGAATTTGATGAATTGCTCGGTTTTTAGACTACTGATAAGGCGATTCCAATATTGTTTGGACTAGGTACTTTTATATAGGCACCCTTTCGAAGATGAAGCTTACTCAAACCTAAATCAAGTAGTTCACTCTGATTTTCCAAATGGTCAGACTGGTTAAAAAGCACGAAGAACTTTTTACCTCTTGAGCTGTCTGGAAATCCTATAGCGAACATGTGGACACGACAAGAATGTTCAGATTGCCATTTCCGGTCTGTGTAATTCTCTAATTAATTTGATATAGAAATTAAGGGATCAAGGCCCCTAGATTAGCGTCAGTTGCCTCGCTTGAAAAACTTTAATTCACAATCAGCTACAACGCAGTCACTATCATATTGTTATGCTTTATCAGTACATGCATGGTCCTCATACTTGGGGACCTTTTCCAATGTCCAAGATGAACGAGCCAGCGCTCAGGTCATCCTGCTCGAGGTCGCCGTCGATCAATACTTGTGGTGGTGCCACCACCTGACCCTCGGGTCGCCTCACGCTTGTAGCTCGGTTAATCTCGCCAATGTCCAGATCCACATCCAGATCGACATCGCTATCGCTGTTGTGGTCTAGCGTGTTCGTCAGCTCGTTCACGACCTGCGTGTTGGTAACGATAGAGTCCTTGTTGGAGTTCCACGTTGTGTTGTGCTCCTCTTCGTCTTCCTCTTCTTCCTCATCACCTTCTTCTATTCGAGCAACGTTAACGAGCTTCGGCTGCGCTCTGATTGCAGTCATAGTCGCCAGTTTCAGCTGGCCTGTTCGTTCAGCAATGATAGACGCATTCTCGATGGTGTTGATGTCGGAGAATATCGAGTCAGACTCGTAGGAATATATCGAGCGAGTGTTGTTCTTGGTAGGTCTCACCGTGACACCTGGAATATAAGCCACGGGTAAAATGTTAGATGCGTTGGTGGTTGAGATGGTGGTTGCAATGGAGTTTCTCTTGGATGAGTCGTTGTCTCCATATGGCAGCAAGTTTCTGTTCTGGGCCTGGCCTCTGGCACGGCCTCTCGCCAGGGCACCACCACGGCGAGCGTATCTTGCTTGAGGACGCATAAACGACTCGTAGGAGGACACTCTGTGGTTCTTTTTGAGGGAGTTGTTGGAATCTGTTCTTCTGGCTTGGGGTCTAACAGGTCTTGCTGCCGCTGCACCTTCCATTTCTCCACTGGACAAGGTGTTACGCGGAGAGCGAGTGTCCAGATCTTCAATATCTGTCTTGTAGTCGTCCATGGCCAAATCGTCCTCCAACATAGGGTGCTTCTTGCGGTACACCTTCTTGTAGTACCACAAGCCACCTAGTATTAGCGCTAGCACCACCACACCACCAACAACACCTCCCACGATACCACCCACAGGCGTTCCTCCTCCGGAAGACAGTCTGGAGCTGTCCACACAGACATTCTTGGGGCACTGGTCACATGTTCGTGATATCTGATGACATACCTGGTTGGCAGGACACGAGGGACAAGGATCTATGCTGGACGGACACACCAAGCAGCCGTCCGAGCCTGTCAGGTACGACTTATCGGTTGATGTAGCACGTGGTTTTAGGGACATGTTGGTTTCTTCGAGATGATGCCCTTTGGAAGACTTATATATGCGTTTTCTGATTCTGAGGTGTCAGAAATCAGGGCGTTTCGGTGCTTTATTTGTTTACGCCCCAAGGCAAGCTTTTGAAACGGGATTTGAGTTTAGCTTTGGAGGGGTCGTCTCGTGCCTATACTTTCTGTCAGATCTCAGTGACTCGTGGATCGTATTTCCGGCGGGTCAAGTACTGTTGAACAGATCTGAAGATTTGCAGGCTCCCGATATAAAAAAATTGAAAACGGGGTTTGTCACGAAAAGTGGGTTTCACGACGACGTCTCGAAAGAAACTTGAAGTAGGAGACGACTTTTTCTCACTTTTGATCTTCCTTTCTCCAGGCAGCTTGGCTAAGCCGCTTCTCACTGATCTAGATTCAGGTGAGGCAGAAGGGGGACAAAAAAAAAAAAAAAGGAAGAATTCAAACGTCAAGACTTAAGAAAAAATCAGGATCTCAAAAACGTCGAATTTGTGGCTTTTTATAGAAATTAATTCAAGATATCCGTTTTCGTTATTGCGGCTTCCGGTCCTAGGCACGGTTTTGTGCCATGTCCATCCCTTGAGCTCAAATGGTCCAGGTGCCCCCACTAGGACCTGTTTAAGAAGGAAATGTAAAGTCCGCAGCCGAAAAATAAAAGATTAAGCCTTGCAGTTACCGAATAATATCAATTTTGTTACTGAACAATTGAATTTTAAAAAACCGTTCTGATTTGACTTGTGCTAAAAATACTCAAGCGGCTCTATAACAATAACACGCTCGTCGGCCGAATACCAGCTTTTTTTACCAGCATTTTCAGGAACACATTTATACAGTCGTCTGCTTCACGCGTCCCCTACCTTCTACACTTTATCGTTGTATTACCTGTATTCTTCGTAAACGTTGCCGTTCGCTATGCACGTCACCCTGCTTCCATCCTCTTCTAAAACGTCTCCTGCAACTCCTTCTTAAAGCTAAAGTTGTCCTTGCGGCGGATCAACCAGCTGCTCTGGTAGTCAAAGTACTTGTAGCTTTCACCACGCTCCACCTCCTCGCCTGGAGCCAAAGACACAGAACGGCTCTTGGCCTTCTCGTCTTTCGAGAACCACTGCTTTGTTTCCGAATTGAACACCCAGCCTCGCCTGCTCAACTCGCGAGCGGCGTTGTACTTTGCAAGGTCGTCCTGGCCTTCGCTGTAGTAGAAACAGAAAAATAGCGTGTCGTTGTCGAACTTGGACATGATTTTAGCCGAGTTGAGCTCAAACATAGGCTCCTGAGGGTAGTCCACCGACAGCGGATGCACGTTCTGTGGGTTGTATTGACGAGGCCTCTCCGCATCAGAGGAGTCGGGACAATTAAGCAAGGAAGACTCCAAGAGTTGGCTGATCGCCAGGAACGGCAATGGGTTCGCTAATCTGTTCTGTGCAATGGCATTCACCCGCGAGGCTGCCTCGCTCATGTACTTTGACTCTTGCGTGAGTGCTGCTGGCAAAGAAGGCAGAGCTTCAGAGGGTGCTCTAGCAGTGGATCCAGCAGTTGAGGTTGCGGCATTAGACAAGGCTGGCGATCCCTGGTTGTTCATAGCACCAGAGAGCACAGCAGCGGCTGTAAGACCTGGGGCTGGCGCCGCTGGAGCACTGGCCTGAGATGTGATAACCCTCTTTTTAAGCTCCTCAGCACTAGTTTTGAGTACACTAGCCAGAGGAGCCGGGCTACCCGACTTGGAAGACCCAAGACCTGGAGGAGGAGCACGTGCCAGCGCAAGAGCAGCAGCGGAGGGACCAGAGCCGGTAGGTGGCTTGGCTGGCGCTGTGAGAGGCTGCGTATGGCTCAGTGATGCGGTAGTAGCAGAGGAGGAACTAGGTGCAGACACTGGCGCAGAAGGAGCTGCCAGAGAATGACTGTTTTCCTTCTTTGCCGGGCTTTTGGGCTGAGGCTCCTTTGGAGTTTCCTTCTCCTTGGGCTTTTCGATCTTTTCCACCTTCTCAGGCTCCTTCTCCTCCTGGGCAGTGGTTGGGAGTGAAGCGGCAGGGAAGCTTTCAGGAGCCTCCTCAAGTTCTAGTGCTTCATAGAATTCATCGTACTCGATGAAATCGGGCGCCTGGTTGTTCTCCACATA